TGACCATGTCCTGACGGGAACCCTTCACTGAAAGAAAGGCTGCAAAGGAGGGGAGGTCATTTAGCTCCTCTTGCCCATTTGATAGCTACAAGCTAATCAATCTGAAGACCTCATCCAGCTGTTTCATGAGAGAAATGACAGAAGTCAGGGTACAGCTTCTACAACCTGGCTGTGCAGCCTGTTCCACACTCCCACCACCCTTGGTGTAAGCAGCATGTGGTAGTATATCGCAGGTTAGATTGCAGACACGTCAATGACTTAGGGGAAAAAAGGACACGTGCAAAAACAACCAGGGAAAATAGGAAAAATGCAGGAGACCAGGTCTTACCCGGGCTTCCCTTGTAGTCTTAATCATGTTAAGAAACATCTGTGCCACCTCCCTATCAAAGACTCGCACCCGGTCCCAGTCCAGTGTGAGGGGACCATCTTTACCCTTAGAGACCTGCCAAAGGAAAGACATGTACAGCTTCAACTTTTGGATGTGAGAAATTCTGGTTAAATGAGAAAGGCAAAGAAAAACCGAGCAATTCAACAGAAAAGCACAATTTGAAAGGATCTGAGGAAACGTTAACGGTTTTCCTCACTCTGATTATGCACAGATATACATCCATGGGGGCACCAGGGTTTAATGAAACCAGAATTCAGAAGTGGGCGCACATTCACACGCTATGCAAAAGAACTGGCTTCTTTGGACACACCACACGCTATTATGTTCATTTTAGAAAGAAAGTCATGTCACTGCGCAGAAATACTTTTTGAAATACAATTTGTATTGAAATACAATTTGTATTGAAATACCAATTTCAAAATTGCTTTTCTGAAACTTAGAACTTTAGAGAGTACAGCGCTACTTGGGAATCAGATTCCAGGAAAGGTGTCTTGCTGTGACAAAAATTCTAGAAGGGGAAAGTTGTCAGTTACTTAACATTGTATATGTGGTATTTGTAAATCCTTTCATTGTTAAATAATAAGTTAAAAAAAGGCAAATAACAAAGAGATACTGGAGACATCACTTCCCAACTGCAGTCCTTCACATGTCACACCACACCTCAGGTGTGTGGTTATTAGTCTAAAGGGAAGGCCTTATGTGTCACAACAGTTCCATATCTACACTGTGATGCAGTAAAGCCATTATAAAAGCACAATTAACAGAACTCGGGGGTCTTCTGACACAAGACAGGTGGAGAAGAACGCTGTGTGTGCCAGATCTCAAACAGGGCAGCCTCAGGGCTCTGCACGAACTAAAAGCACCCGAAGGCCAAGCGTGAAGTCCAGGAGGCTTAATTATTTGCCTTTGCCTAATTACAGCCGTGTGAGAATTCTAATTTATAAACCCTTTACCAAATAACCAATAACACACTGATCACTTTCAGTGACTACTTACAAGTAACTACAGGCTGCATAGTGGCCTCTAGGGGCAGGCTGGTGAACTGCAGCCCCTTCTTCAACTAGCCACCCGTACTTAATAATAATAATAATAATAATAATAATAATAATGGCTTACACTTATATAGCGCTTTTCTGGACACTCCACTCAAAG